ACTCTACTACTTTTGTAACTTCGGGATGCTATTGAGCCAGAAAAATTAGCTGCTCATCAAAGCTGACTATATTCCCCAGTTAGTACTTATCAGTTTTACTACTTTTTACAGTACCTCACACACAGTACACACACAAACACACACCTACACGCATGCACACGCACGCACGCGTGCACACATAAGCAGAGCAACCGCATTTGAAAACGAAACACCAGTAGTGCTGACTTTTTAGGAATAAATGCATAAATACATGGTGTAAAGTTGTGGAAGTGTTCAAAAAGATAGGTGAGATGTCCATGTAGATAAATAAGTATTAAAAAGCCCGATCATTTTGCGTTTTGGGGATAAATTTTTGGTTAGACCAGTTGGAGCATTTGGTGTCATTACATCTATGGCAGAATGTGCTATAGCCCTGCGGCAGCTATCCGCGGGCTATAGTACTAGAGCTATGTCGCTAATAGCTCTAGTAGTAGTACTATAGCTCGCGTACAGTTGCAGCTGGCCAGCGACAACTGTACGCGAGCTATAGTACTAGAGCTATGTCGCTAATACACTGATCCTGCTTATATATATAAGTATAATATAGGATTGTATGCATGAATCCGGCTGTTCTAATCCATTGTTTTTCTCTTCAAATTAAAGCTAATATAATATACGGAACCCGCTTAATACGATTATTTTTCTTTGGCCCATCAGTTTCGTACTACCAGGTTGCGACTGTAGTAATGAATAGTAGTAATTGAATGAGGAGTTTAGGCTTTGCAGTAATTGTATCTATTTGTGAACAATTTAACGCTACTAAAGTTCTTAATTATACATATAAACCTATATAAAATACCTTGTACACACCAATTTTAATCCATAATTTTTTCTTTGTTAATTCGGGGCTAATATATGTTGAAGTGGTTGATACGAAACCCGCTTAATACAATTATTTTTCTTTGGCCCGTCAGTTTTTCTAGTAACAGGGGTTGACTGTAGTAATGATTTTTGGAAAAATGTAGGCTTTGCAGTAATGGTTTATATCCTCCGCACATATAGTGTAGCAGAACGTATTGTTTTCGCGCCATTTGTGTGTGAGTGTGTGTGTATGTGTGTGTGCGTGCGTGTGACTGTCTGTCTGCTCGATATTTTTGCAACCGTTAGAGGTAGAAACTTCAAACTTGGTCCAGAGGTGGACCTTAAGGCAGGCCCGTAGCCAAGGGGGTTCGGGTTTTTTTTTGAAAATTTGCAAGAATTTCACCTCAGGTCGCTCCATTTTAGTGTAAAAATTGCAAAATCTCCATCGTGCAGGAGGGTGAACAGTGAACACCCCCCTCCCACACCCTCCCCCCGCTCAATCGCTTGGCTCCCTCGCCTGGTCGCTTCGCGCCCGAGCAGGGGCGTGTACAGGGGGGGTTCAGGGAGTCCGGACCCCCCTTTGCTCGCGCAGAAAACGCATCTGAGGGGGTCTAATTTAAAAATTTAAAAACTCGTGCTCGCAACTTTGGGTTACGGTTAGCCCCACCCCTGGTACAAATCCTCTACACGCCCATGCCGAGCAAATTGCCAACATTGAAAAACGAACCCCCCCCAATATAAAGCTGGCTACGGCTAAAGCTGGCCTTAAAGGGTGGTGGAACCCTATTGATTTTGAGTGCCTTTCACCCAAGGTCAAGGGTCACAGGTTCACATTTGATGAATGGATAGATAGATAGATAGATAGATAGATAGATATGCGCTGAGTGCGAGCGTGCAGGTGGGGGAGGACTTGATTCCACAGCCAGCGCGTGTGCCCTGGCAAATCCACTGCAAGGTTACGTGACAGACTACTGTACTGTATCCCATAGCCTGTGGTTGCGTGTTTGTAAGTCTACAGCCAGCGGACCTAGCAGAAGTGAACTGAATCGTGCATGTTTTCCAGGGAGATTTCCCATTAGATTTTCTAAATATGGGTTTTTTAAACATTTAACCAAATAAATAACAAAAAGAATCGAACCTGATGCGTAGGAATGAAGCACGAAAAATTTTATATATAAATATATATATATATGTGCATATTCGCTCGTTACGCTGATGAGACTACGATTTTCTGTCCCGGTATTTTCATTTCTATATAAAACACTTTGTACACACCTGTGTGTGTGTATATATTTCGCGAGTTGTATTAGTATTACCTCCTGGTATTACTATTACTAGTTGTAGTAGTAGTAGTAGTGACACAGCACACCAGCAATGGCAAGTGGCGGGAGCAGCTAGTTTTTGTGAAAGCAAGTCGATATACAGTGACACAACTGTAGTGGAAGTGTAATAAACAGGTAGTTTTTGTGAATTTATGAATTAGCATTCATATTATTTTCAGTTTTTACTGACTGTCCCAAGTGCCTGTGAGTCGGCCTGCCTGCCCGGGACGTGCCCTAGCTCTATCTAGCGTTTGTTGCCATTACCACGGCACAGGCAGTCACAACGAGGTCTATAGAATATAGATGTTGTACAACAGTAGAAGGCATCCACAGGCAGCCGGCATGAATAAGCATTGAACATAAATTCATTAAAAATACTTAGAGAGTTTTGGCGCATAGGCATAATTGCCTGGCTAAGCGACATACGCTACACTGTCTACAGTACACTTTATCTTTATGCATGCTAAATGACTACAAATTCAAAATCCAATCTTCATTCAAAATGTTTGCCAGATTGTTTTCGAGAAATTCCAGCATGTCGAATCTTGTTTCAAACAGAAAACAGTGGATCGGTCACGATAGCTATATATATGCGACTAGATGGAATGTAACAATTACACAACAAGGCTAATCAAACGTCTCACGCTTTCTAGACATTCATGTGGCATATCTACCTTGCATGCATAATGCAAATGCGTGCACTAGTGCCGAATTTAACTGCAAAAAAATTCTAAAGAAGGCATTTTCCAGATGTGAAATGGTGCAACGGTGAACAATTGGCAGAAGGCTATTGCATGCTCCCTAAAATTACTTATCTCAGAACCCAGCTGTACTGCCGACTCCCGGCACAGAACCCTGGGTTGACTGCCCTGTGGCCGGATTCTCAGAGCTCTACTAGCAATCTAATCTACAGCCTGTATAGACTCAATCGATAGTAGATAGGTAGTCGGTACTACACAATCATTACTACATTAGATACAATAATGTGACCCAACACAAGATAGGAGAAACTCAATTTCCTGAAGAACTGGCATGGCTTTATTGTTAGAGTAAAATAGTGGAGTAAAAATGGTTTATCCATTAGAAAAATTGGAATTTTCCGCCATCATGCTGCTGGATGTGGTTTTAGGGGACGTGGTCTACACTGTTGGCCACAAGAAATGATGGCCAAAATCTTTCCTTGTTTTGCACATACCTGGTAGGTGGGAAGTTATTGCATAGATATACCAAGTTAACACATTTTTTACCCAACAATTTTACTCTACCATAAAAGCCCTTCTATTTCTGCAGGAAATTCAGCATCGGTGGAATCATAGATATAGAATATAGAATTCTGAATACAGAATACAGAATATACAGAATCTGTATTCTATATATATCTATGGTGGAATGTGGAGGTGGCCTAGTTTATTCGGTGACTCTGTGCAGGATGTAACACTACCGATTGTATCTACACACACATTTAATCTTTTAGTTTTAACACATGAAATTTATATATCTATAATTTTAATAATCGGTTTAAACTTTGGCTTTCAGAATGTTGATATCCATGGCCTGGTATAATAACCTGTTATTGAAACTGACACTAGATTCTTAGCGCCTACACCCGTCAGCGAACTGCATTCATATGCATTCAACATGGCCAGAGCAGACTCGACAAAAGCTGGTCCTAAGGCATCCTTTAATCCTGTTGAGAACTACAGGAAGCAAATAGGTAGGTTACCGGTGTGCTCCCCTTTCTGTACGGTACTGCTTGCTTTGCCACAGCCGCAAAATCTCTATTGTTCTATTGAAGTCAACTATAGATATTTCAATGGCTAAAGCATAGGTAAATAAACCAAACAATCAATTAGGGAGCTGTTCAGTATGAATGACATAATGTAGACTGAAAACATATAGCTAAATATTCCAGTTATAATTCCTATTAGGTACATTATCTGCTTGCATGGTCTTGGTCATTTATTGCCAGTGCTTGACTCTATTCTATTTAAGTAACATTACTGTGATGCCAGTGCCTGTAGGAGACTCTTATAGCTGTAATGAAAGCCTATAAAGTCACTGTATATAACTTTATGGTACAGCCGTTATATAGATGTACATAAGCTACAAGCCCTTATTCGCATTTTTATTGAATTTGTAAAATCATGGCATGACATCGGAAATTTTGCACATGAACACAGGTAAACAGGATTATAAGAAGTCGAAAAAAGAAATTGCCGAACAAAAGAGACGTGCTGACATCAAAGATGAAAGTGGAATAAAGGTTACTTTGAATTTTATAATTTTTGTACATGTTAAATATTTAATATGGTTCACTGATATGAAATTTTCTGCTATGAATGCTATACAAATATTGAACATATCTATACAATTGTTTCTTTTATATTTTCTAGGATGTTATTCTTCTAGTAGGAGCTGTGATGGTCGTCTTTCTTGCAATCTACCTGTTGCTCTATGTGTTTCTGTCTCCTTCAGAAAACAAGTAAAATGTTTGAATTGATAGCGGTGAACAATAACTAAAATTCATTCACACTATCCAGTAGTAAGGAATTGATTGTTCTTTAGCTAATTTTAAATATAGTAATAGTAGCACCATGGTAAGTATGGTACAGCAGTAAACATGGTACCATAGCGAACGTAGTACGTTCTGCACCTCCCCGTGATTGCGTGATGTGTAGAGCAAATGAACAAACTCGCGATGTTATCTTCAGGGCTGACAAATTGCTGGTTGTTCTGTCAGTTGTGAATAATGGATTTCTTCAACAAATTTAGACTATATATGCTGCATGAAACAAGGATCGATCATGAAAAACCGACTTTTTCTTGAGATATCTACAACTATAATTACTAACAAGTATATCACAGCCAATTTTCATTTGCCGTCTAATAGGCAAACAAAGTAAAATGGTCATGAGCAAGTGGGCTCTGTCACATTTTGTCGATTTTATTCTTGATGCATGTGACTTACTTCAGCAGTTGAGGAGGTGAGTTTGAGTTTGAGGGAGTTTCATAATGCACGAGTTAGGTGCGTTTGTTGTGCTCAACGTATCAACTATTATTGATGCATTGTCAATTCTCGATAAACCAATGAAAAAGCAATAATGTGCAATTGTTAGATATACATAACACTTAGAAAGCATGCTATTTATATCATCTTCTCCAAAAGTCTATGATTTATACACTTTGATCAGATTGTCAAGTAATATCAGGAGTGTATAAATAATATAGAGATGAGTATGACTCGTTCGAAGCATAAAAAATAATAAATATAAATTGTAGGTAAATTAGGGCATGGAAATGTTGAATTTTTTTATGTTTTGAATGAGTCCTACTCCTCTATATTATGCACTCCTGGTAATTAATATTACTAGCCTAGGGTTAATTCGCAAAACATCAGATACAGTTGAAAAATTGATTCAATTCATAGCATTTGCATTACTTAAAGGGAGAGTTTACTCTAGGTTCTAGGGTTATTTTCAGCTAATTTAGGTTATAATTACGCTACATAAAAAGTTTCATGGTTCAATTACCATTCGAAATATTATTAAAAAATGTTTTAAAACTAACGACTACAGTTTGATTACAACGACGGTGGCGCCACTCAAAGCGCACGATCTGATAAGTTGTGCAAAACCACTTTCCAGCCAAGGGCTACAGACCGAGGGTGTTTCTTATTTATTCATTTAAAAGCAAAAGGATTGTAATATCTTATAAACGACATATAGTTTCAGTTATAATATGGATAAATTTGCCCTAAAATGAATATCGTTCAGTTAAATAGCATTTAGGTATAAATATAATTGCACTTTTGTGATTAGCCCTCGGTCTGTAACCTGCAAAATAAATTGTCAAATACGCAACGTTTTCGGGGTGGCAGCACGGTCACGGGTGTCATGGCGCCGTTCAAATTTCGTAGCGTTGATGTGTAAATATTTATAACAATTAAATTGGGTATCTGGTAACAAATACGTGTGGGTATAGACGATTTGTTATACAGTAAGTACAGTTGCATGCAGTAAAATCCTAGAGGCTACTGTCCCTTTAAAGGATATAGCATTCCCATACCAGGCTGCCAGTTCAGGTATTGAGCATATTAAATACATGTGTTTATGGATATGCATCATTAACGGAAATTATTCGTACCGTTTTACTGAAATTACTGGGTAATTTTTAGGACATAATCAATATTAAATTGCCATCGGTGTAGTATAATTATTAACGTGCATATGTTTAAAACATTGTGGTCTTTATATGGAATGTATGGATAATGGCCCTGTCATTTGAAGAAAATCCAAGGTGGGCCTACTGACATTTATACTAATTTTATGTAATTGCCACAAATTATTGTATGCCTTCCAACAGCATCTCTAGTGTGTTAGACTGATTTCTCACATTCTCCTACGATGAAAATAAACATTTTTAACCAGTAGGTGGCGCAACGTGCCACGTAAACGCCAATGATGGGAACACGCCTAGTAGAGAGGTGAGCACAAGGCGTGAATATGCCAACTGCCAAGAGACTGCAAAATGTCAACACTGTGATATTGATTTATATAGGGTATATACAAAGATATTGAATGTGTCTGTATCACTTGTATGTACACATAGGGAGTCATATATAAAAACCTATGTAAATAAAAGAAATGTTACAAATTATGTAATGTTCAGTTCCAAAGTTCGTCAGTAATTGTTTGTGGAGAATAAAAAAGTGGTAGACTGGTAAAGAGAAGGAGATTGGTGTAAGAGGTTGGGAAGAAGTGTGGAGAGAACAGGTGGGGGAGTAGATTACAAAAATGCTAGAGTTATAACTATATGGCATGCAGTGGTGGATGGAGGTATGAGAGTTAACTGGCTGCTTAATTACCCCCTTCTCTTTTCCATCCTTCACCTTCGCTATCTTTCCGTCTTTGTCACCTAACTTCCTTTTTCCCAGTTCATGGTGATGGGGCATAAAGATAAACAGTGGTGGTCGAGGTGGAGGTGAATGATGTAGTAGTAGGGTATAGTTATTGGAAGTTGTGGTAATGGTGATGATAGCGAGGTTAATTGTCTCAACAAAATAATATTCCTGGTGTCTGATACTGGGCATGCGTGAACTCATGTTTGCATGGCTTCTGCTTTATACCTTGCTGATTTTTCTACTTTTCTCTTCCTTCCTTTTACTTTTTTTAGCCTTACTCAAATTGTAGAACGCATGCAGTCTTCTTGTCACCTTGCACTGTAACGACGAGTTTGTATGTAATAATTTAGAGTAAATAATGAAGAAGAGTATAGAATTCCAAAACTTGTGTGGTAACCGGAATAAACTTTAATAACTGCTCGCACACAGTGTGTCCATCTTGCACAAAGACAACGCAACGCGCACACGCGCGGGAGCGCGTGTGCTTCCTCTCGCGATCACCACCAGTCTACCAGACTCTCCCCTACATCTCTATTCTCTCCCCAATACCCCGCCATAATCCCACATGTCTACACCCGCTCTGCTCACCACACATTTCACAGTCACCCTAGAAAATCCCGACCTAAAACACGTTTACAATTCTCTCTAATACATCAATGTAGCCGCAACAAGATGCGCGACGCTGTGTCTAGATAGACTATCACTAAAACAACTCCTGCAGCACTATTGCTTGTTAATAAAAGAGCAGTTTTCTCAATATTTGCCCCATGCCCAATAGACGTCTGGAAAGTATTAAAAGTTAAATTTGTTTTGTGGGGGAAATTTTGCAAATCTGTAAAGTGGTGTGAACTTTAAATCTGCGCGGTCATTTAGCATGAAAAACGTTTGTATGTGTGTGTGTGTGGGGGGGGGTACTTCGTAAAAACGCACATAACGACAAGACCCGTGTGTGTGTGGTGTGGTGTGCGTGCGTGCGTGCGTGATATATTGTGTGTGTGTGCTGCGTGTGTGGGTTGCTGTGTGTGTGGCGTGTGTGTTGTGTGTGTGTGTGTGTGTGTGTGTGTGCAGGCGCGCAAATCCATTTTGAAATGTGGGGGGACACGAGTAGCGAGCACGTGAAGGGGGGGTCTGTCTTTAAATTTTGAAATTAGACCCCCTCAGATGCGTTTGCCCCCCCTCCCTGATCACAAAATATATTGGTCCGTTATTATTGTTGGTCCAGTCATATCATATATGCTTGTATATATATCATCAATTTGCAATAAAAATTACATTATTAAAACCGATGCTCAGTTACTCAGTGTCCTCTTTGCGTGAATATAGCTCGTGTTCCCAGCTTAATCCTTGAATCAGTGTCTAATGTGAGTGATATCTCCTAAACTTTCATAAACATACTTTCTCTTGATGATTCTGCATAAGAATTATTTAATATAAGAAAAAAAACGTGTTAAAAAAGAAACGGTACTAAATTTATCAAGACACATTTTTCTTAAGTTGTGCATGATCATTATTATGCTCTCAAATGCACTTGAATAAAATGAAAGCTGGCAAAAAAAGGGAAAGAAGCCAATCGTTGACGCACTATCACACACAATAAAAAGGTTCTCACTTCACAAACACACACACACACACACACAACACACACACAACACCACACACACACACACACACACACACAACAATCATGGTGATCCAAAATCGTGGGGGGGGGACATTATATGATGTTTCCCCTCTGAAAATTTGGGGGGGGGGACATGTCCCCTTGTCCCCCCTGGATTTGCGCACCTGTGTGTTGTGTGGTGTGTGTGTGTGTGTGTGTGTGTGTGTTATTTCCCGG